GTGTGTGTGTGTGTGTGTGTGTGTGTGTGTGTGTGTGTGTGTGTGTGTGTGTGTGTTGCTGGGAATTGAATCCATCCCTCATGTATGCTAGGAAGCACTTTACTACTTACCTGTATTCCCATGTCCCTTTTTCTAAACTTTTAAATTTAGTACCACCAAATTGACCTTATCAATGCAATTTCTAAAATTCTTGTGCCATTTTAATTTTAGTTTTATTTATTTACATTTCTTTCTTTTTCTGCAAAATCAGTGCTACAAGAAACTTTTCTTGTATTTACTTTGTTGACTCCAGATTGTTTCTCTATTTTTTGTCACATGTATTTCTCTTTTGTCTATTTAGATTCGCTCTTTACTTTCCTGTGTTCACCCTAAATTTTCTAACTTATAGAGTTGAATATATAAATTTGTATTTTAATTGTTCTCATGAAGTACATACAAAGGATATTTACGACATAAATGAAAAGGATAAATAATAGAAATGATACTCAATATATTCATTGTGGACACATGATAACTACATAGTAAAAATATTACTTTTATGATTAACTGTTTTTCACTGTACAATTTCCCAACTCCATAATTGACTATACTACTTATGCTATTAAGATAGCTAAAGTTTCCCCTGGTGGAGGAATTCATATAATTTTTGGTTTCTTATATTTAACAAATGAATTATCTCATACTAGCTCCATCATTTATATATAAATTTTCATTAGATGTCTGAATTGAAGGAAAAAGTGACATTTATAGTACATGAAAAATCTATAATAGTCTGCTTTCAGATCATGTACCATGTCAAAACAGATGGCATAAACTGTTGTGCTGTCTTTGAATCGATGAGTTAGCCACTTTATCATGTTTCTGCCCTCTTTGTTTGGACTCACCCCATTAGGAAAATGATAATTAGCATCTATTATGAAACAATACAAGTAAAATCAAATTACTTACACTCTTTCATGAATAGGCATATAACTTTCAGTTTTGGTTTGTACTTTCTGCTGTTAGAAAAATGTACCTGAATAACTTTAGCTTTTAAAATTGGTCTTACATAATGATTATTATGAAGACTAAATCAACACTGAAATTATATCTGTTTTTATACTCAGGAACTTTTCCATATTTTTGTCTTCATGTTAAAACAAATTTCAAAGGTCACACTGTACCTAATGTTTGCTCTGTAAATCTCTCTGATGCTTTTGTTCAGAAATATTAAAATGTATACCTAGAGTACAGTGAATATATTTCTTCCCTAAAATTATGCATCATGAATATGGAAAATGCTTCAAAACCAGAATCTCATTTTTTTGTTTAAACTATCTAAATGTAATTGTCTAGGGTATGGGAAGTAGTTGGTTTACATAGTCTCATGATGGGAACACACAGGATGTGAGGGGAAATAGACCTTCATTGGAATGATCACTGGTCAACATGGTAGGAGAAAAAGAATGGGTATGGCAAATGGAGGCAGACAAACTTTGCTGCTAATATAATTATTAGCATTATTATTAATATAGCATTAGAATTTCGATGGTCTAAAAACACTAGTCATTGCTTTTGTCAGAAAGCCTGATTGCTTTAATTTTCAGACTCACTTTAGTTTCCTCAGACAGTTGTGAATAGAAAAGGCAATTTATTTCCTTCCAGGGTCCTAATTGTTCAAAAAGTGATATACCAGTGAAAGCCAACTTAAATTTATTTCCTGGAACAATAATTTAAAAAAATATTTTCCTGGGATATGAGCATCCTCCCCTTTGTACTCTATAGTTTACCCTTGCCTATAAAAGCTTGTCAGAAAATCAAACATCCCTCACTCTCATCTCAACAGTTTAAAGCAGTGTTGACATATACTAAAATTTTTTATTTGTTGAAATTATCCAAGCAATGTAAAATTAATATTGCTCTTGATTTTCCTAATTGCAAAAGTTTTTATGTCCTGTTTATTCCTAGAAGAAATACTGAAAGGATATTCATCAAACCCTACTTAACTTTGAAACATTAAATCATATAAATTTTATATTCATTTTTTATTTTTGTATACTTCTATTTGATAAATTATTTTTCAGTAAACATGTGTTCCATTGTAATCAGAATATACGTATCTTTTAGAAAATAGTTTTTTTTTATAAAAGATTTAGAAAGTTTAAAAACATTTAAATTAGATAAGCAGCACGTCACTCATGTTGCCAAATCCTTTAGTCTTTGAGTTCTAATCACAGTTATTAGGGCTCTGGTTATTCTTCTGACAACTACTTATACATACAGTTATCCTGTAGTGTCTGTGGGGCATTGAATTGGTTCTGAAACTTCCTTATGCCAAAATCCTAAAATGCTCAAGTCCCTTATATAACATGGCATGGTACATGCATAGAATCTACATATACCCTCCCATATAATTTAAGTCATCTCTAGATTACTTACAATAGCTAGAACAATATTAAGTACTGCATAAAAAGTTCTTATACAAGTTCAGTAAGGGAATTATGACCAAAAATTGTTGTACATGTTCAGTACAGATGTAGTATTTTTCCAGATACTTTTACTCTGTAGCTGGTTGAATCTATCATTTCAGAGCTTTGCACTATGGAAGGTTGTCTGTCTCTTCCAGTTGTGCATCAAGGTCCAAGACCTGCTCTGGATAACACTCCAATCCAATTCTTTCCCTTCACCAAGTACTCTACTATCTGTAGCAAATTACCTATTTGCCAACTATAACTTCTACATTAAAAGAAAAAACCGCATCCAGTTTTTATTGATGAGCAGCAGACTTCCATTTGCCATGATCCCTTGCTTCTTTCTGCTAGGCTTTTATTCAGTGTCACTTGATCTTTTTTCCTTATTCTATGAAATTCCCATATTATCTATCTTTCTTATAATCTTGTTTGAATTTGATCTGATTTTTCTGCTGAGAAAGTACCTTTTTTTCATGAGATGCAGTATTTTGAGATGTCAGAATCCTATTCTATCAAGTAGCTTTTTAAATACTGTTTTTATAAATTAAATGAAATTATATCTTATATGCTTTCTTCAGTTATAAAACCGATGATCTTTCTATCTTATAATCATTTTCCCTTCCCCTTTGCTGAAATAATATGCCATTTAGCTTAGAGTAATTTTCAGCTTTGATAAACACAGCTCCGTATCCCAAAAGTCCAGAATGAAAAAATTATTATCATTTATCTGGGACTCAAATGAGTTATCTGATGGTTTTCTTTAGCATCTACAACTGTTAAGTGTTGGAATTTGTTTTCATGCCCCATTCAATTGGTTTTCAATATGCTATTAAATTTTTTATATTCCTTAGTTTTTTTAAACTAGCTTCATTCTCCTTTTTCATGAAGTGAATCACGGCTCTTTAACAAAACCAAAGCAAACAAAACATGTCAATGAACTTTCTCAAATATCTATTCAGAGCTTTTATTTTTTTCTTCTAACATGTTTAATTTTTCTACAAGAATTAATACTTATTGTTTCTACTGTAACATAAGATATATGGGAGTGACATTACTTGAATTCAGAAAAAGAAAATAGATATAGAGTATTAGATAAAATAGTCATTTATTTAAATTTGAAATGTGTGTGCATAATCTCATGTTCAAAAACAACCCCTTGATCAGCTCCCCTTTTAAAATTCATATTTCTTGTTTTTCTTGAGCTCAGTAGCAAACTACTCTATCCTCACCTAGCATTACACCAAATTAGAATAATTGTTCTTTTTCCCCAATTAAAACAAATGACAAAATGCTTGATGCATTTATTTCAGG